AAACAAGAGGAGATGAGGGAAATAAACTGTGTGTATGTAAAAGTAAACTTACGAGCCATCGAGCCACTCGGGGTCAACCAAGTTGCCACCAGATTTTACAGCAGGAATCCAAGATTTCTTTGGAGCAACAGCAGCAGCTGCCACAACAAACCTCTTGGGAGTGGTAACTCTGGCAGTAACATGAGCACCTAACAAGGCTTGAGTTTTCTTGCCACCAGTCAAGAAAGAGGAGCTCAAGCCATTCAGCACTGCAGTAGCAGATGTGGTGGTCATGTTTATTTTGGATAGTGGTAAACTGCAAATACGAAGTTTCTGTTTTTGAATATTGAAGTGAGATTCCTGGTTATATGGTCATGAGATCAAAAGAGGGCAAATAGTAAGTAGCCAAGTAGGATAAACGAAATCTGCAGATGAAATCTAGTGGATAGATTTCTGACCAATGAGATGTTGAGCTCCATCTCTATGTCCCCTATTCATAACCATACACGTGGACACCTCTCTGTAATTCTCCTCTCTCTAATAAGAAGATATTGGGTTCCCTAAGAAAATGACATCTTAGTGAAAATAGAGAAAAAAGAAGTTTGTAATCAACATTGCGCTAAAAACGAAAAGTGAGGTTTGAGAATGGTAGAGTGTATACACATCTTTATTTTGAAGAGAAGGAGGGAGTGTTCTCAAAAAGCCTTAGCTTAAAAAGGAACCCTGCCAAACAATTTGAAGAAGGGGATGCATATGGGACAATTACATCAACACCGTTAATATGAAGTGAAAAGTATTACACCCAACAAACAAGAGAAAGAGTATTAATGAGAACTAAATAATGCAATAATCGGTGCCAAAACAAACTAGTGAAAGCCGTAATTGAAGTTCAAGAAACTATAAGAGTAGTGAAAGCTTATCCGATAAAAAGAAAGAACACTCAACTATCTACTAACCTTGTACCCTAATGCATAAACTCTAAATACTGAGTTTGTTTTGTCATTTTCATTAAGTTGTAGGCACAATAATTTAATATTAAACCATCAATTTGTAAACCTATTTTTGTAGTTATTGACTCCAAACTTAATCAACTTGCAAAAGGTGACCAATGGACTTAAGTATTAGGACAAGTCAAATTAATCATGTCATCATTAAATATATATCCTATTTCATCAAGAACCTACAAACACATCCATATCTGCTCATTTAGGACAAGATAAAACAATCGACCAACTAAAGTATAGAGCTTTTATGTTCAACTCACGTATCTTTTCGTTACACTCATTCGGTTACGCAACAGGCTAAGCCAGAAAGGAAGATAAACTGAGTTACTAAATTTTTTTTTTTTCATGACCCTGGCAATTTGAGTCATATAATAGGTGTTTAGTGTAATTAATATTTTCATTAATTCACCCATTCCCTCCCCTTGTGCAAAACCCACAGTCAATTGCCCTAGCCCCCAAACCATATATGCAACAGAATTTTCAAACTCACAATCACAAACACACTTATGAAATTGTTAGATAAATTTCTATTGTCAACCCTAAAATCCATAGCCACCCAAAACATTGTTTCCCATTATCACAATCTTCAGCAACATAGAACCATAGTGAAAGTCCGTTTGAAATGGGTGAAAAACAGAGGTTTGGACCATATAATCGATGTGCAAACGGATCTTAAAGCGGCTTGTTTACTAAAAGACGCCATTGTGCGTTCACCAGTTGGGTATCTTACTGCTAAGTCGCTTGCTGATTCCCAAAAACTTCTTGGGCTTACAGTTCCTACACTTAGGTTTATTAGAAGATACCCAACTCTTTTTGAGGAGTTTCCTCACCCAAAGTACCAATCTTTGCCTTGTTTTAAGCTTACCCAGATTGCTAAAATTCTTCATGATCAAGAATTGAAGGTCTTTGAAGATAACCATGCTGATTTGGTTGAAAGGCTTTCCAAAGTACTTATGATGACAACCAACAGAATGGTAATTCTTTTTTTTTTCGATCATTTGGTTTGTTGCTAAAGAGCGAGCTTTTCTTGAAGATTTTTTTAGAAGGTACTAAGTATTCTATGAGAACTGTAGTAAGACGGCGTTTCTTGGGATTATTGCCAATTTTGAACGTAATTATACTTCTGTTAATGCATTTTACCCATCACGTATCCAATGTAGAGAAGCTAGTGGATTGTTATTAATTCGAAAATGCTTTGTATCAGATTGTGGTTTTGGTATATGGTAGTTGGTGGTGCAGAAAATTGGATCATTTTGGCTAAGTTGTAAAGACTTCCTGATGAAGCTTTTAAGTATCAAGATAAAATGCCATTTTTGTGAATTTCAATATACAGTTCCAGTACTGCTCGTTTTCTCTATGTGGAGCTGTTTTCTTCTCTCTCATTTATCAAATTTGACTTGAATATTTGCAGGTGGCGCTGCAATCATTGCATCCTTTAAAATGGGATTTAGGATTGCCTGATGATTTCGATAAGAGATTTCCAGATCATTTTAGAATAGTTAAGGGAACTAATGGGTTGGCTTGCTTAAAGCTTGTTCAGTGGCCAGATAAATATGCTGTGTCAGAGTTGCAAAAGATGAATGATGATAGCAGCCCTCCGACGGGGTATAGGGAATTTAAAAGGGGCAAAGCTGCATTAGAATTTCCCATGAGTTTCCCAAGGGGATATGGGGCACAGAAAAAGGTCAAGGCGTGGATGGATGAGTTTCAGAAGTTGCCTTACATCTCACCTTACGAGGATTCAAGGGGAATCGACCCTAATAGTGATCTTATGGAAAAGAGAGTAGTTGGGGTTTTACATGAGTTCTTGAGCTTGACACTATACAAGAAAACAAAGAGAAATTACTTGAGGAGCCTGAGAAAGGAATTATACCTTCCAGATAGATTTACTCGAATATTTACTAGGTATCCAGGAATATTTTACCTCTCTCTCAAGTGCAAGACAACGACTGTGGCATTGAGAGAAGGGTACCGTCGTGGAAGACTTGTAAATGCACATCCTCTGACACGCCACAGGGATAAGTTTCACCATGTTATGAGGACTGGGTTAATTTACCGAAGCAAAGGAGTGGACATTTTGCCGCAGCTGGACAACGTGCTTGATGAAGAAGAGAATGAATTGACTGAGGAAGAAGAGATTGAATTGACTGATGAATGCGATGGAACTTCTGATGCAGAGACAGCTAGTGATGAAGACTAGGATCCCCTCAACATAGGAATTTCTATAGAGAAAAAGCTCTTGAGGTACCTTGACTTATGGTATTATCTCTCTTGAGTTGTTGTGTTGGTGTTGATTGAACTGGATATTATATGTATATAAATGTCTATCTGTTATGTGAAAATGGAATTTCTACTTTAAGATCAGCATTGAAAATTGGCAACTCTTTTGGGTTCACTGATCAATCATTGTAGGTAGAAGGAAGTTTTTTCTTCTACATTACATATTACATAAAACATCTATCTAGAGGGTACAGTTATATTGCTGTTCATACAATGTGAGTTCCTCCATCCATTTTTAATTAGATAGCCGGAAGCTGGATGTGAAAAATATGATCTGGCACGGTAAATTTTGAGAATTGGTACAACAGAAGAAGTATATTTTAATTCTACAACATTGACAATTATAAACATATCATACAACGAAACAACAGAAAAGATGGTTATAGCAAATATCGATTTTTGATATAGAAATTAGTTAGCCATATCTTCCTAGTCTAAGTATATTACATAGAACATAAACATGGACCCAACCATTAAGGTGATATAACAGTTTTCTCGCCCATTTAATTGAATTTTTTAAATTAGTATGGTTTATGTTCTTTTTGTTGATATGTAACTCTCAGGCATAAGGTATTTCTTGTAACTGGATCCCATAATCCAAGATTGTCAGAGACATTGTTCTTACGTCTATTTAAGGAGGAAAATATGTCTGTTAGAATGTTGGACACTTTTTTTTTTCGTTTCTCTCCTTTTTTCTCTGGGAAAAAGTCTTATTTGGGTTTCTTCTAAATTACAGGAACAAGCATTTTACGTGTAGTTGGTAGCCTATTAAGTGGATTAGGACGCAAAGATATCCCACATATCCAGAACAAGAAGTGGAACTGTTGACAATAAGTGATACTCTCTCTTGGTCTTGGAAAAAGTTTTAAGAGATCTACACCTTGTACTTTGTGGTATATACCAAGATAAATAAAATTCTTTATGCTTGTAACCTGGAGTGCGAGGCTTCAATGAGAACGTCTTTTGCTGTAATAGACAAAGGTTCAGGAAGGCAGTGGTGGCTGGAGATGCTTTGGCCATGTGAATGGCATGGATCAAGCTGCAAAAAAGATTAGGAATAGCAAAGATGGAAGGAGTGAGATATGTAGTAGGGGAGGGATGTGCTCTGTAAGGGAGAGTTCTTGACGGCTACAGGCAGTGAGTAACAGGGCATATGTATTAGTCTATTACTAGGAAACTTTCTGGCACCTTGATCAGCTTTCTCCCTCCATCTGCCCCCATTAATGTTAAACTAGGGATTTTTTTTTAATAGATAAGATCATCTGAAGAGTAGTTCTATGAGATTTTTGGTTTCTCTCTCTTGCCAAGGCTAAATGAAATGGTTCTCAATGAATGCATATTACCTATATCTGTGAGCTAGGGTACCTTTGTGTGAATTGGTATGATAATCCTTATTCTGATTGTATGAGCTTCTGGTCATATAAACCAGAAGGCAGCAACTCACTGAAAATGCCACCTTCTTGGTTGAGTTATCTTCTTGTGAAGGTTTCTGCTGTTATGATTTATGATCATATTTTTATTTGTGACTGTAAATTATACTTATCAGTGAACTAGGTATTCAAATGTTTGAAGTCACTGTTCTTGAATCATTTGATTAGAGTTTTAACTACCATATCTCCGCCTCTGCATTGTTACAACTGTTACACTGTCCTGCTTGGGCCAGACCAATATTAAATATTTTCTTGAAGCATATTAGATTATGTAAGATCATAAACTGTATCAAGGGGAGATCTTGAATTTTCTAAAGGGGACAACCAAATTTTGATTTCTTCTTTCTACATCCAGTGACTTTTTACAATGAAATGTTTAATACGAAACCCCTTACAAACCAAGAGCTCCCAGGGGTGTCTTCCCTTGCCCAGCCTCAAAATAGAAAATTAACATGGCTAACATAGCAAGTCTAGCATGCTTGATCTCAGCAACCTTTAATCTCTCAAGCTTCTCTGTGTCAGGGACGTAAACTCCATTGTTAAGTGTACCAGCTAATGCCAGAGGATCGAAGAATTTGCCACCGGGATAACCCTGTTCGCCTGTGAAGTTGGCGAAGTTCTCAGCAGTCTTGGACCATGGGGTGGCCCATTCTACAGACTGAGAGTCAGGGTCGAAGAAGTCGACCCATCTTTTGCTCTCAACCCACCCCATGAGGATAAGTTGTGTACCAAGAAGTGTGCCAAAAGAGAAAGGTGCAATAGCGCCAGGGTCAGCACCAGCCTCAAACCATGGAATGCCACTCCATGCTTGACCAACAAAGATGCCCAATACCGCAGCCATTGCCCATCTGCCATGAATGAGCTCAGCTTCTCTGTACCATTTCAAGAATGCAGGGTCCTTTCCTAGACCAAGTGGATCAAAACCATAGTCACCAGGTAGCCTGCAAGTTCAAATATAGTTATGCCTTTGCAAAAGAACGAAACAGGGGAAAGGAGCAGAGACGAGTCTAGATCAAGTTCAGGGTTCAATCTTTCTGCTCGAACCACATATACATGATCTGAAAAAATACATGAATTCTGAATCCTAGATTCATCTCTAGGGGATAGGTGTTGAGGGTTGGAGATATAAAGTGAACTTACGAGCCATCGAGCCACTCAGGGTCAACCAGATTGCCACCACCTCTTACAGCAGGAATCCAAGATTTCTTTGCAGCAGCAGCCAGCACAGTGAACCTCTTGGGAGTGGCAGCACCGCCAACTCTGGCAGCAAGGGGAGCAGCCAACAAGGCCTGACTTTTGTTGCCACCAGTCAAGAAAGAGGAGCTCAAACCATTCAGCACTGCAGCAGATGTTGTAGCCATGTTTGTTTTGTATATGTTTAAGAATGGAAATGATAGTAATATGCAAAGATATGGATGGTTGTTTCTTGTGTCTCTTCTATGAATGAAGTAGTGAGATATAAGTTTATAAGATCAAAAGGGGACCTTGTAAGGAGCCAAGTAGGATAAATGAAATCTGCAAATGATCTCTGGTGGATAGATTTCGGACCAATAAGGTGTTGAGTTACATCTCTGTCCCTTATTTGTACCATACACGTGGACACTCCCTTCTCCTTTAGTTTTGATTCTCTGTCTTAGTTGTTATTTCTGTACTCTATGCATACATGATCTGTAACCCCTCCCCCCCTCCCCCCCCACCCCCCAAAAAAAAACCAACACAACTTCTGAAATCCTTTAACTACAGATTTTGCTGTTCTCTTTTGTGGCGGTAATTGTCGTTAAAAGGTTGTGTTGATTTTAAGATAGTATGGAGTATCATAGCTTTTACCAAGTTCTATGAAGCTAGACTACTAGTATTTGTAACAGTCAATAGTTTTTATAATTAGTGTCTATACATTTATGATACATCACTCATGATGACACTTGCAAGATGCAACCCATGAACTTGGAAGAATTAAGTTGTAAAAAATACAAGGGAGAAAAGGATGCGGTTTTATAACAAGTTAAATTGATAATCTTGAAAGATGGATTTTAACTAGTAGAATAGGACCATTTTAGACAAAAGCAATGGGAAATATCTCATTTGGGTTTGCGGCCCATATAGCAATTGAGAATAAGTGGTGCTGTTTAAGAGTTATTAGGTAGCCAAAAACCCATTTCCCGGGTAAAACCAAACAGAAAATAATGATCATCAATTCCCAAGAAAAGAAAAGACATGAACTTCTATCCACATCTTCAACTCAAATAATCTTTAAAAATTGTTAGAGAAGTTGTAGTTATGGCTGATTCTTTGTGCAAGTTCTTGGATGGTCGGTGCATAACAGGTTCTCAATTCTTTGCCACCTATTTTTCTGCCCAAAAACCCTTCCTTTTCCCAACTCTTGTCAGAAGAAAAAGAAGAAGAAAATCACTTCACATTGCTTTCTGCTCCACACCCATTTCCACAAATCTTGATGTTGTCTCTACCCATGGTATGTTTTCCCTTTTAAATTGCTTGAATCTTTCTCTTGTGTGATAAAAAATTGTTCTTTTACCAATTTGGTGGGGTTTTGATGTTTCTTTTTTGGGGTGTGGCAGAGCATTCTGATGGCACTTTACTGTTTCGGTTTGGGGACCCAAGAGAGATAGCGAAAGAGGATGAATTGGAGGAGCCCCTTTTGGATAGTGAGGAGGAATTTAGTGTGGTGAAGGTTTTAGATGGTGATAATGAGAGAGAAGTCATTGTCAAGAAAGTAGAGAGGGAAGCCAGGGGCGAGGCTGTGACTGTGGTCACTGATGCTGGTGTCTCTGAATCAGTAGTAATTGGCAATGGAAGGAATGATCTTGTCGAAGTAGAGACTGGATTGAGTAAAAATTTTCTTGGAGATTCTGCGGTTGAAATTGGTTCGTTTTCACCTGAAGGAATTCAAAATGAATCTGTAGCTGAAGTCGATATTGAGAATGCAGTACATGTTGAGGAGATTTTCGAAAAGAAAGATGATAGTGAAGCTTCAGTTCCACCACCACCAGAGAATTCTATTACTTCTTTGGAAGTTGAGGAAGAAATGATGGGTCAAACAAGTGATGAATCATTTGAAGAATTGGATGATGACAAATCACTTGTTTTAAGTTCACCTACAGCAATGCCTGTTTATTCTGACTTAGTAAACACTAAGGAAATTGAAGAATTTGAGGGAGAAGGTTCAAGTCAATTGACAGAGAATGATGGTGACAAGGATTGCTGTTATGATTCAACTCATTCGAAGGAAAATGGTGCTGCTTCTGCTGATATTGAGGCAGCGCACAATGATATTGAGATTGTACAACAGATAGAACAAATATCTGAAAATATTGGAAGTATATTGGAAGGGTCCACGGAGAGTGTTCCAGAAGGAATTAATCTGGGGAATGCCAAAACTGTTGCTGACGAAATTAGTCCAGAGAATGCTCCCGAGGGAATAAATCTGGGGAATACTGAAACTGTTGGTGACGAAATTAGTCCAGACAATGCTCCGGAGGGAATTAATCTGGGGAATACTGAAGCAGTTGTTGACGAAATAAGTTCAGACAATGCTCCTGAGGGAATTGATAAGGGGAATACTGAAACTGTTGTTGACGAAATTAGTTCAGACAATTCTCCTGAGGGAAATGATCAGGGGAATACTGAAACTGTTGTTGACGAAATTAGTCTAGAGAATTCTCTCGATGGAATTGATCTGGGGAATACTGAAACTGTTGTTGACGAAATTAGTCTAGAGAAGTCTCTCGATGGAATTGATCTGGGGAACACTGAAACTGTTGTTGACGAAATTAGTCTAGAGAATTCTCTCAATGGAATTGATCTGGGGAATACTGAAACTGTTGTTGACGAAATTAGTCTAGAGAATTCTCTCGATGGAATTGATCTGGGGAATACTGGAACTGTTGTTGACGAAATTAGTCTACAGAATTCTCTCGATGGAATTGATCTGGGGAATACTGAAACTGTTGTTGACGAAATTAATCTAGAGAATTCTCTCGATGGAATTGATCTGGGGAATACTGAAACTGTTGTTGACGAAATTAGTCTAAAGAATTCTCTCGATGGAATTGATCTGGGGAATACTGAAACTGTTGTTGAAGAAATTAGTTTAGAGAATTTTCTCGATGGAATTGATCTGGGGAATACTGAAACTGTTATTGACGAAATTAGTCTAGAGAATTCTCTCGATGGAATTGATCTGGGGAATACTGAAACTGTTGTTGACGAAATTAGTCTAGAGAATGCTCCTGATGGACTTGATCTGGGGAATTCTGAAACTTTTGTTGACAAAATTAGCCCAGAGAATGCTCTAGGGGGAATTAATCTGGGGAATACTGAAACTGTTGTTGATGAAATTAGTCCAGAGAATGTTGATATTAGGCATTTGTCTATGGATGCTGAAGACCAGAGTATCGAAGTCCTTAATTTTGAAAATGATGAACAAACCGAGCTGAGTAATTTGTCTGTAGATACAGAAGATCAGGCTTCCCGAAATAGTACCTTCAAGGATAGTGATGTGACTGAAGTAATGCCTGATTCTCCTAAGCTGGAGGCTGAACCAGTTTTTGATGAGGAAGTTGATCACAACATAATATCAGAGTCTAATGAAAGTGAAAGTCCATTGCCGGTGAGTTTTACCCACTTATCTTTAAGGTTATGTGTGTATCATTACAGTGCTCTGCTTGCTATTAATTATTGTCAATCAGATGAAGCCACCTAAGCAGATTATTTAGGTCTGTTGGTTAATAATTTGTGTATCAAATGTTAACTGGACGATGTTGTGATTGTCTATTAGAGAATAGGCATTTATTACAGAATAATGTATGTTGTGCAATAGGTGGCTATTCCCAAATTTAGAGCTATGTTCATATTTATTCTAGTTAGGGATGTAACATGCCCCTTTGCAAGATTCCTCTCTGAGTTTCGCAGACATAAGACTGATCCTCAAGCTCAACTAGATATGGTAAACCTGTTTTTAAATGCTACTACGGGTTTGTTGGCGTGCAGCATTTAGTGAGCTGGCTCTTTAAAACTTTATTATTCCTCCAGTACTGTGGTGATTTAAGAATCAAAAATGATATTTTGTCATGGCTGTTTCTTTCATCTTTAAGTTGGGAGTTCTCGTAGTTAATTAACGTAACACCTAGTTTTTTTTCTCAACATAATATTATACAAGATGGAATTGGAACTGTTAAGCACATTACTATATGATGTTATAGTGTCATATGTACAAAAGTATGATGGATATGTGTCATCAAAGAAGCTGCTATGGGGAAACACTTAAGCATCCCTCTTCTCTTTCATACAATCTAAAATAGCAATGGGTAGCTTTCCCTTCTTTCTCTAGTTTCCAACACAGTGGTCTGTTATTCTTTACCTTTGCTATTAGTACGAGAGTTGGGTGACTGTCAGGCTCAGTAGTTGGTCAAAACCTGGCTGCAAAAGCTTTTACTTCAGCTATTAACTTTCACTTGGATTGTTCTTTAGAACTTTTGGCTTCATCAACTAAGTGAATTCATCAGCAATTACCTGGTTCATATTTATCATATTTGATGCTCTCTTATTCACAGAGTAGTTATCCATCTTATGCTACTTTGACACTGATCACTGTCCTAAAGATTTGGTTATACTAACATATTGGTACTTGAAAGATTCCACGCGCACCTCTCCATATAGTTACATGCTTGAGTGTTTTGTTTGGGAGCAAAATGAACTGGTTCTTCCAGCACTTTATCCCAATCTATAATTAACTGCCATTTTTTTTAATCCCGATCTACACTTCTCTCAGTCAGATGAAAATTTGCCTAGCTTATCCTTGGAAGAAGAAAGAAAAGAAGATGTAGAAAACAATGAGATCATGGAAGTGTATGGTCATGAAGTGGTTGAGGATAAATCTTCAGAAGTCTTAGTCAGCAGGTAATCTTGCTAATATCTTGGACCTTACCGATTTCAGAATTACTGCAATTGTTTTATTTTTCTTGGACATAGAATGTATACATATTCTCTAAATTCTTTATATATATATGTTGCTAAACTTGTTAAAGATTGGTGATGTTAGAGTTTCTTTTTTTTACATTTTTCTTCAGTACTATACTGATGTAGAGAAACACACATGTTTAATCCCTTAACAAATAGGAGTAGTTTATTTTGGAAAAATTCTTCACCCAAACCCCCTTTTGAATACAAATTTTCTGCTCTTGATACATCTGACATCTTATGTCACATTTTCAACAGCAAGGAAGCTACGCCAGCAGCAGCAGAACTAATTCTATCTTCTGGTGCTACTTTATTGCAATATCCCTCCAAGGTATTTCAGATATGCCTTATAATTTTCAATTTTTGAAGTTAAAAGTTACCACTTAGTCATGAGGTTGAATTGAGTTTTATGGTATGTTTGCTATTAAGATGCACAAAAAAGGTAGTTCGGCTTTTTAATATATGTATATATACTCACAAGTTTTGAATTTCCAGATGAAATAAATGTTTATTCATTAAAAATTGAATGTGGAATATATGTCAGAAGATATTGATTGTTATTTTCTTGTAGCAAATAAAACATCTTGATTTATGAGTAAGAAATTCGAAAAACAATAAATAAACCAGGCGTTCGCAGGTGGACATGAAGCATATTTTATTGCTTGTGGGAAGTGGCTAGGGGTAGCCGATGCAGTTGGTTCCTGGTCATTGGAAGGTAAAACTTCTCCAACTCGTTTTCCTATCGTGCATGGCACCTGTATAGCCTTGAGTTTCAGTCTGGAATTCATGAATTAACTTCCATGGAATTTTAGAAGGTTAGAGGCACATAGTGATATTATCCAACTGAATGATGAGCAAGTCCAGAAGCATTTTAGTATATATCTATTTTAAGAGAATGTGCCTTTTATTACTCAGGGAGTGATCCAGGAGTATATGCCCAAGAACTCATGCAAAATAGTCAATCCATTGTTTCTCAGTGCGACAAGGATTCAATAAATGACCCTAAGCAAGTCCTTAATCTGAGCGTCTCAAAAACAGATTCCCCTGGATCTTCAACAGTCTTGATTGCTCATTTTGATGGAAAGGTATATTCATTACCAAATTAATATGTCTTATGCTACAAAACACCTCAATTATAGTACCTTCCTGAAACAGAAAGATGCTCTCATAGCTCACACATGCATATGAAAGAAGGATGTTCCCGTAGCTCACACATACCTATAAAAGCATCTCAGGTGCAAGAAGCTTCCCACATTCACACAGGGTTCGAGAAAGTGTCGCACCTCAAGGGGGTGCAATGTAGGCGGCCTACCCTGATACAAATAAAGGTATCATTGGCTGATTACACTGCTCGAACCCTTGAGCTATAAGTCACATGGAGACAGCTTTACTGATGCTCCAAGGCTCGCTTCCAGCTCACACACACCAATACATTTGTAAATTCATAATGGATTGAGATTTCAATAAATTAAGCTGGAGTCTCAATTTGAATTCTTTATGTTATCTTGCTCTTTCCTTTCTCATTCTTTTCATTCAAAAACTTGCTAAATGTTTTCATCTAAAAGATATCATTAGCATGTGTGTGCACTTAATAAAAATATAAGAGTAAACAGTATCAGGAAGTTATTACTGGTATACAGTGAGAATGTTTTTCTAAGATATAGATTGCTGACATGTTACTGGAATAATCTTCAATTCATCAATTTTCTTATACGCCAGAAAAGATCATAATAAATATTTACCAATGCTCACTCATGAACATACTTTGAAATGAAAATTTATCGTTAACAGGCTCTTCATGTGGCTAATATTGGCGACTCTGGATTTATCATAGTAAGGAATGGCAATGTTTATAGGAAGTCATCACCCATGCTTCATGAATTCAATTTGCCCATACAAATTGAGAAAGGCGATGATCCATATCAACTTCTGGAGGTATGTATGTGGACATGTTTAATGAGGCAATCCGTCTGAGAGATGTATCCAAGCTTGTATTCAGAAATTACTCCATTTCTTGTGTATTTCACCTTATGCTTCAGGAATACAAGATAGAGTTAGATGAGGGGGACATCATTGTTACTGCAACGGATGCACTTTTTGACAACTTATATGATCAAGAAATAGTATCAATCGCCTCAAGGTCACTGGAAGCCGACAAAAGTCCTCAGGTGCCTATGCTATTTTTGTTTACATTTTCTTATCTTACCTTCTATGAAGTGTTACTGCTCTTTTCTTATCTTGTGGTAGTTATCCGAAGGGTACAACTTCTTATAGACTCTCAGATACAGTTTAGGAGAACTCGTCCAAAATCCATCGTGTAATTTAATCACATTTCTAGTATGTAATGCAGTGGATCTTTTTTTCTTCCTTAGGAGATTGCGGAGATTTTGGCAACAAGAGTGCAACAAGTGGGTAGTTCTGCTTCGGGCAGAAGTCCATTTGCTGATGCAGCTCAAGCAGCCGGATATGTTGGGTATACTGGTGGCAAGCGCGATGATGTGGCTGCCATTGTATCAGTAGTTCAAAAGGTAATCGTGTCAAATAACAACTAGTAACACCGCGGTATATACATACATGTATATACCTAGTTCCACGTAAATTCTTTAATGTTTCCCTTCCACTTTGTAAGCAGTTTTTTGATGTCTCAAAGAAAGTAACTGTAACATCTATGTTGATGGGGTTCAGTAAGCTTCATTGAAATGTAAATTTATGGCATCTGATTCCTATTTCTACACCATCATGGCTGCTCTAGAATGATTCTAATTAATCATTATGTGTTCTTAACGAGATCCTTCCCAATCTTTTTTTTATAACTATGGTGTCAAGGTCAGCTTGCACATATCTGGACTATTCCACAAGCACATGTATCGGTACTACTGAATAATTCTGTCTATCAAGGCTTAGGTATTCAAAAGTTATATCTCGAATGTTATTATATGCAGTTCTTGAAATTTACTTTTAAAGTTCACTCAATTAAACCCTGAGGCATGCTTGTGATATGATTGGAATGTGAGTTGGATTGGTCCCAAAGAACCTCAAAGTCACACTTTTTGATATATTTGAACATCTTTTATTGACTATAGGGAGTAAGTTTATTCCCAAACCTGTGTGGACCAAATCATTTTTGGGATTAAAAATTATTCCCTCTCCTTGTAAAGGTATATATTTTTTTTAAAAAAATGAAATCTTTCTGCTGGAACTGCAAGCTAATGTTCTACACTCCAATTCCACACACAAACGTTATATATACCAAAAAGTTAATTTTCCATTTTTATTTACTCCCTTCGTCTTATTTTATATAATACTTTTTAGATTTTGAGATTCAAATAAATTAAATATTTTAAATTATTAATTATTATGATTTATAATATTTTTTATGTAATTGTATAAAATTTATTTTAAAAAATGCGATACAAATTTGATGGGGACCATGAAGGCATCACCAATCACGGGAGTAGCAACACAAAGAAATTAAGTAGCCACAACCCACTCACACATCACTTTTTATTTTTTTTTGTCACAAAATCAATCATAGCGATGACTGACTGTAAATATTTTTTTAAATCCAAAAGAACTTTATTCTGATTCAACAACCGGTCAATAAAAAAGCAGTACGTACAATATATATAACTCAAAGTGGACTTCACTTTGATTAATTAACAATTGTGAAAAAATTAATCAAAGTTACCAATCCTGCTCTTTGAAAGAGAAATATGCTGTTATCAGTAATAATTACTTTTTTCTTTCCAACTAATGTGCTTATAATTGCATAAGCACTTGGAGGGGGGACTCATAAATTATGTCACATCTTTTAACTTCAAAAAATTTCACAGTACAAATTCAAAATTTAAAATTCACATGCTCATGCAATTATGAAGTATAGTGAGTGGAAGTAGGCAAGATGTGACGTGTGGCATTTACTGAACACTAGAAAAGTTTAATTTTAAAAATGGCTGACCAAATTTGAAAATGCAATTTCAACTTTTCGCCGCATAATATCTGGCATCGTATAACAAAGAGAGTAGTCCCTCTCCTCATTCTCAATTTAAATATATTGAAAAAATAGTTTACTTCATAAACACAAAATTTAAAGGATCATACGAGTGACACGTTTTTAATTTAGAATCATAAGATGCAATTATTTTTCTTGTATCCAATAAAATTAAAATACTTAAATTGAAATAGATAAAGAAGTATTTGAAATCATTTTGAGGCAATTAAAGTGGGTCCCATTCATGTTTTATCATTTTTAAAAGACTGGGGTAAAGAAAGAAATGACAACGTGAGAACAGAATCCTCGGTAACAAAATAAAAATTCAAATAATCAACATTAATATTTACAATTGCGAACTTTTAAAACTTAAAAGTGTCCCACTCTATCCTTATCAAATGTAAAAGAAACTAGTCCAATTTAATGTAACTCCTATATTTCTTTGAAATTGAGCATGCATGGTGCATCAAATATCATCATAGTAGTATTTGCATGCCAAGGAATATTTGGTTGGTCTTTTTGAGGTGACAATTATCAAATAAAAGAAGTCATTCATTTTCTATTTATTATTAGGTAGCTGTCTCCAAATATTCCCTCCACTTTTACGCATGGATGATGATGCTTTTTAATCGTAACAAGCACTAGATCTCATGTCGTCAGAGTATTATTGGAAGGACACCAGAAAAAATTAGAAAAATTCAACAATGGTCAGTGAGTTATACTCCAATTAATTTGTTTATGTGTTTACTGGTACTTCATATGTGTGTCGGTCTAATAATAATCGTCAATTATTAATTTATATATATTATAAATTATTGAAATAATATAATTGTTTTTTAATTGCAGCTAGGGCGCTTGACTAATAAAATAGAAAGAGTTTTTCTCACTTGTTTGAAGCCATATAAGGTTTTCCTCAATCGGCAAATATCTGCGTTTTCTTGCTACAGATTCGTGAAAAGAACTAAGACCCGCTGTTATTTTCTAATTCCATTCCACGGTACATGATATTTGCCAATGAATGGAGTTGTAGTGTTTATACTCTACTTTATCAAAGTATGGTGATAGTAATTACTTGAATTTTCTAATCACAAAACTTTCTAACTATCTGGGCTTTAATCTTCTAGATTGGTGTAAAGATTTTGAATTTGTTCATAATGATCAAATTTGATCTGGTCTTGTTTTCACCTTTCCACTCATTCTTGTTACTATTTTCTTTTGATTTTCTGTTATTTAAATATTTATGATTCAATGAATGACTGATAAAGTATGCATTGATATTAATCTAATCCAATTAGAATGCTTGATACTTTATAATTGTACATAAATAGAGTATTAAAAATCATATTTATTCTTTCTATTTTTAACCATCTGAAAAATTCATCCTACGTTATTCCAGCAACAGAATTATAGCTATGTTAATACTTAAAAATATATATTAAATAATATATTTAATATTAACATTGAGAGCCTCGCTGCCAGACATACACAACAAAACAGAGGTTTTGGCCTTTTCAGCTCAAATTTAGGGATATACGGCGTTTCCTTTTCATTTTTAGCCGTTGCCCAAGTTCATTCGACTTCTTCCAACTTTTAGAGTCCGTTTGGTTCAACTTAAAAGCTGATCAAACTGACTTAAAAGTTGGTTTTTGACTTATTTGGCAGTTTGACAATACTCAAAATAATTTATTTTAAATTAAAAAAACTTATTTTAAGCCAAAAGCTAAAAGTTGGGGTAGGGGTGCTTTTTTCAGCTTATAAGCTGTTTTAAGTTGACCACATTTTTACCTTTTTGCCCTTAATATTTTTATACAATCTCCAAATTACCCACATAATCCTAACATCTCTTTCATGTGTGGATGATAGACAATTACTATTACTAATGAATGAAAAATAAAATAAATCTTAAATCTTTCAAGTAATCTATTTAAATTATATATTATTAAAATGTAAAGTAAGTTGCACATAAAACTTAAATAAAAATTTATGTTCCTCTTATTTAATAATTTGTGATAATAAAGAAATATGTGAATGATAGACAATTATTATTACCTATGGATGAAACTAAAATAAAATCTTAAATCGTTCTTTAATCTATTCAAATTATATATCTTTAAAATCTATAATAAGTTTATATTCCTCTTATAAATAATTTGTGATGAGAAAGAAATATGTGAATGATAGTAAAATATAATTATTTATGGCTGTAAAATATAAATTAATTAACTTTTATTATGTTAACAACTTTTAAGGGTATTTCAGACAATTTGATTTAAAAAGCTGTTTATCCAGCACTTATTTGCCAAACACACCAACAACTTTTTCTTTAACTTCAGCACTTTTATCCAAACGCATAAGTGCTTATTTTAAAAATAAATTTCAGCACTTTCAAAAATACTTTTTTAAAGCTATTTTTATTAAGCCTATCCAAACAGACCCTTAGTCAATTTTCTCTCCAAATTAAGAGTTTAATTGTGGGTCCCAAAATCAATAAAATCATATCCTTTGGGAGAGTAAATAAAAATAGGTTTACAGAATTGTATCGATAAAAAAATCAAACTCTCATCGAATATAAATTCAGATTACTAATCAATTAAACTACCTAAATTTTCTATACTGACATAATAATATCCCATTAGAGAACATTTTCTCCATTTTAAAGTTGTTGCTTTTATTAGTGGAGATCTAAATTCCTTTCATCATTTATCTTTACTTGTATGCGGACTACTTTAAAACAGAATAGTTATTTAATAATATTTGTTTAATTAAAAAAATATATCCATTATTTAATATCTAAAAAAAATTTAAAATATTAAATTTGATATATTTAAAAGGTAATATAATAAAATTATCTTTATTATATTATTTTGTACTATATAAAATAACACTCTTCACTTTCATGTTGTCATACTTATTCAAAAAATTAAAAACAAACAATTAACATGGAATAGAGATTATGTTTTTCCTCTATAAGTTTCAATTCTTTACTAAAGAAAAACACCCTCACAAAAGTCTTTGGAATTTTGGTATTCCATAACAATAATTTTGGTTATTAAACGTATTTACAAGTAGTGTAATTAGTTGAAATCTTAACGTATCGTAACCGTTACTGTCAAATTGATCCATCTCTTAAATTTGTTACGTGCCAAAATACTGTATCGAAATACTAAATCTTGTAGGCAAACGAATAGTTAGTGAAAAGTAGTCACGTAATTTAGCATATATTGTTTACAAGCAATTAAACGTCATAAAAAATGCAAAAAATAGAGTTCTCTATCCAGTGTATACTCCCTCTTTCAGTTTTATTTATCCACATTTACCTTAACATGACATATTAAAAATCAATTAATAAAATAATAAAAGCAAATTAGTAATAAAATATTTTTGAAGTTTTCAAATAAAATAAATTTATTTAAATTTAATAAATAAAAATAGACTAAAGCAATAAATATTAAAATAAAATTTACGGTAGAAAAGAAGACACATTAATTCAGTGTTCTCTACGCGTGACCTCTTCATGTTTATTTTCCGTCGATTTATTTATGTACCAGTCAATCGCATTTAACTTTTATTTCAAATGTTTTTACGTGGTTTTTATATTTTAAAGTGGTTAATGACTATAAATTATAATATTTTTTATATAATTTTTTAAATATATATATATCATATATCATATATAAATATATCATTTAACTTGATTCAATCGATGTTGTGTTTTCAAGTTTGAATACAAAGTAAAATAAATAACACCCACGTACTACGTAACATAATAATGTATTTTTGTTTAATTTTATAAATATTATTTCCAAAAACTTTTTCAATTTTTTTTAAAAATGATAGAAACCCGACCCAACCATTACCCTGCCCCATTCTCTTTTTACTCAATTTATACCCTCATTCCAACCTTTCTTCTCCATTCTGTAACCCCAAAATTGAAAAGTTGTGAAAATTTTCTCCATTCTTTTTTCTCCTGAAACTATGTCTACTTCCAAAATGAACTCATTTGCTCTATTTTGCCTTATTTCAATTTTGTTTTTTTCTTGTACAAGTGTAGAATCAGCCTCTCGTTCTGCCCCTGCTCCGGCAGTAGACTGCAATAACTTGGTATTGAACTTGGCTGACTGTTTATCTTTTGTTACCAATGGAAGTACAGAGAAGAAACCAGAAGGTACTTGCTGTTCAGGCCTTAAAATGGTATTGAAAACTGACGCTGAATGCCTTTGTGAGGGTTTTAAAAACAGTGCTCAGTTGGGTGTTGTTCTTAATGTCACTAAAGCTATGGCTCTTCCTGCTGCTTGCCATGTATCTGCTCCTTCTGTCAGCAACTGTGGATGTGAGTTTTTTTACTTGTAAATTCTTACTAATAACATTTACTTTGTTATTAAGACTTAAAAACAGTAATATTATTATGTAATTTGAAGATTTTAATTTTGTTTTTTATTTGTACAGTGAGTACTGACACTGGCGCGGCGCCTGGTACGTACAGATCTGGCGCTTAATAGTATTTTTAGTTCCTTATTTGACTGTGGTCTCTGTTTTGGATTAAATGTTTCATTTTCTTTACTTGTTTAAAATTGGTTTAAATATCATACTAATACATAAAGAAAATTATGAATGTGTATTGTCCCTAGATCTGAACCTATAGTTGAATACTGCAATCCACCTACCAAAAAAATACAAAGGATGGAAGAAAAGAATCTCATGAAATGTTCATTTTGTTTATTTCTTTAAAATTATATTACACACAATTATTGAATTGATTGAGCCAACCCGAACACCAAATTTTATAACATTTTGGGTGTGTAAATAGTGTTTGGTCTAACACCTTTCATCACACGAAATTCACTTTATTGAATATTTTAATATTATTTTATTATAAACATGGTATAAATGATATGTTTTCACTTAATTTCTTGTATATTTTATTATTTTTATAGAATATCTTTATAATATTAATTTTAGTTATAAAAGTTAGCTTTTTTTATAAATTATTTTTTCTATATATGACTTTTTTAAGAAATTAAATTTATGGTAATTTTACGATAAATTATAATTGGATATAACTACAATTAACCTTCACAAAAATTAAAAATACAAACATATAAATTATTAAATAAATAATACAATGTACTTAAAAATAACCGAAAATAATAAATACTCAACAAAGTAGCAATTCACATACATACAATTTATATAATGTTTAATTAAAACGCTATAATGAAATAATATCAAAGTATTCAATAAAGTGAAATTTGGTATTGGATTGGAGCTCCAAAATACTAAATTTTACACCAAAAAAGGATTTATTTGGTGTAAAATTAGGTGTTAAGTGGGAGATGGTCTTAGTTTGATCACTAAGTGGTCTTTCTTGTTCAAAAAAACAAAATAAACTTAGATAACAGAACTGATGTAATGTAATCAGTAGATTAATTTTATGATCATGCTTAACTAAGATATCCTGAATAACAAGATGTATCGCATGAGTGTAATTTCACAAGTCAGGTCTGGGAGGATGTGTCTTCAACCTTGGGAGACTGTTTCCAACAAGATCTTCTACCTGTCCTTATCTTCCTAAAAGTTTAGAAGCGCTCAGTGAACTTGTCTTGTCAAAAGTTTGATTACTATTTGCTCTTTTTTCTTGTGGGGATGTGTGTGATGTACCATTCTAATGTCACATACATTTTTTCTGAAGAAAGTGTGACATAGGTGATTAATGAGATTGGTGGTATCTTTATAAGGCTTTGGTCAATCTTTGCTTCCTCTTCTCGAGTTTTAGTTAGAGTCAGAATCTATTTCTCAACAAAACTGATTTCTGCTCTCATAAATATAATAATTGTGTTTATTTGCTGATACAGCTCTTTCTCCAATTGCTGGATCACCAACCATATCAGCAGTTGCTCCAGCCACAACCGCGGGTGTGAATGCGGTCACTCCAGTGCCAGCTCCAGGAACCTCCGATTCTACTACATTGGCAGCTCTATCCATTGGACAATTGGGTTTGACACTAGTGGTTGCAGTTTTCTGTTGGTTTTAGGATCATATTTTTGTGTTGGTTCTAATCACGCGTTTTCTGGGAGCACGCACAGATTTGTTGTTGTGATATTTGTCATTAAACTTTGCTTAGTTGGTGTACTCGAAATTTTATTTATAGAGTGGTAGGTAAATTTTGTGAGACCACGTAAATAGGGATCACTTTGTTTTCTGATAACGTTCTTATTTGGATGATATATTTTTTTTCTCAAATCTTATTACATTTGTTTTCGTTTATCATGCTCATTAGTTATTTACTTCATTCTGGCAAATTTTCTGTTAACTTGCCCTTTATATTTGTCAACGTGTTATGGTGAAAGTTTAGTCCCTTTTCCTTTTTGTGTTTGGTTATTATAAGGCTTTATAGTGAATTTTGGTACTTATTTAGCTTGCCTTTTTCATGTACTACTGAAAGTATACAGTTCCATTTTCTTTATTTACTACATTTTGAAGGTCTGGTAACTGTACGTTTTAGTAAAGTATATATGTGTATGATAATGTCAGTAATACTTTTTTCTTGTTTGGCCCTCCCCTGTGAAGGTCAAACGAGGCCTGCCTGTATTTGTTAGCAGGACCACCATTGCAGTATTAACTCTCTTGGATTCTAACGTGCTCAAATATTTACGTATAAAATTCTTCGACACATATTAATGTGTTAGAATCAAACAGCTGATAGAAAATAATTTCAATGTAAAGGCCTAATACATGATCGATAAAGTAATTTTGATAGACATTTGCTGTTCAAATTTGGAGAACTTTTACACATTTTCAAGTATACATTACATTTATAGAATTTATCACTTGAAATATAAGTCTCAATCAGTTGTAAAACCTTAGGCATGTTGCAGTTGAGATTATATTTATAATTCCAAACAAAAATATTATTTTAAGATTGAAAAGAGGCCTTGCTTAGCTATCAGTCAATGGAAGAATGAAGAGTTTAGAATTTGTGACAAATGCCTATAATAAAAAAATTACGGAAGCCATTTCATTTGCACAAACTTTTTTTGATTTAACATAAAGTAGTTGTAAACAAAGCCCATAAACTGCAGAAAACAGCCCATGAACAAGTGGTCTAATATGTAAACTGGACTCCTGTTAGTAACCACACAAAGCGAATGCACGTCGAATTATTTATTAAACGAATTGAGTTATGACTCACATTTATCGGATTTGATCTATTAAAATGTTTTTTTTTCTCCGTTGAGAATAATTGGAAACAATAAACCATAAAAATAAAAGTACAAAAAAATTGGTTTAAGTGGGACAAAGAAATCAGCATCAGTACTAGCATTGTTCACATGATGAGAGTTCAACAATTTTTGCACAACAGATCTTTTTGGTGAATGATGATAAAACCATAGGATTTAAAGCAGAACTCTACCTAAATAGAAGCCAAATGCCAAAAACAACTTTTTTTTTATGTAATAAGTCTCTCTTTCACTCTTTCTTGTTCATGTAAATAAAAAACACAATGGCCATTTCTCTTCTTCAACAACTATTTATAGGCCAAAATTCAGCTCTTTTCACTTTTGATATGCTTTCCAACACACTCACTGGTGACAAGTGTCCCATCACTGTTACTCTTTTGCTATCCAAGTCTATGCTGAAAGATGTCACCCCTGCTCATTCAACAAAATATATAAAAGAAAAAACGATACATCGATACTTTAATTATATAAGCGTCCTATTACTTCTAAATAAATTTTGAACTGATATTATTACGTTATTTTAAAATTTGGCTACAATAACTGTGTCTGAATCCTACATAAATTAGAGTTGGCTATATTAATCTGTCACATCTATGTTGTATTTAAGATCATAATCAACAAATAACACGATATGACCTTTATTCTTACGTTTATGGTGTAAAAGAATTATTTCTGTTAAACTCTCTATCAAAAACAAAAAAATGTATTAAAACAATGTTCTAAATACCTTCCATCTTGGAGAGATGTTTCTTCACTTTACCAGCACAGCCTTGACAATGAAGTGACACTCTCATCACAACAACCTGCATAAATAAATAAATAAATAAATAAAATTTTCTTTTTCAATTCTAAGAATATTAAAACATCATATTATAAAATAAATGTGTACTAACCTGGAAGGAGTTATCTGAATAGGGTATTGAAGGAACAATTTTGCAACCATTTTCTTGATCTCTCTTAGGCATTGTCAAAACAGAGGAACCAGCAACAACATTTCTTGATCTCTTGCTTATAGGCATTGAACCAAGTGTACGAGGTACATCCCCTAACCTCGTACCCTTGTTAATTAATTTTGTATGTTCTTCCATCGACATTCTATGTCGCGGCGGCGCAGGCACGACAACTGACCTTGAATCACAACTCAAACACACTGCAGTTGAGAATTGAGGATGGCACATAAATCCTCTCATTTTCTTGTATCCTCCTAATTTCTTGTAGTTCATTTTTCGTTTTACTATTTTCTTGTACTATCTAAAAGATAGTAAAAAAATGAAGTTATAAAGGAAATGCTACTCTTAATGACTTTAGCAACCGGTGGGGCTTGCTAGTGGCAGAGTAGTATACTCCACACTATTTCTACAATAAATTTCCATCTTATATTAGTGTGTAATTTATTATAGCAAGTTAGTTAGAGAACTATATTTATTAGGGTGTCATCAAATGTTTATTACTCCCTATCTTTGGATACCAATGGGAAAAAATAATTCTCACATTTTAATATGATGATGATTAGCAGAGAAGATTTGTTACTGAATATATAATAAGATTTGAATTTGGATGATCAAATGATGACAAAAAGGTCAAGATTTTTAAGAAAAAAACAGTACCAAGTGTACAACTGAACTGATCAGTGGCTTCAGAGATTGAAATTTTTTGTTGTTAATGGAGCCCAACATGATAGAACAGTACAAAAGTGCAAATTTCAGACCATTTCAAGCTTTTGATTCTTTTAGACTATTATGTTAATCTAAACTCGATGTCTAATACTAGTTTTTCCATCTAGCTAATTCGGATTAAAATACTCGATGAATGTCATCATTGTTTTAGGTGGTAAAAATTACTCTTTTATCAATGACAACTTTATTTCAAGTACTCGAATTTGAGCCTCTAATTAGAAGTGAATAGTATTTAACACTCTACCGCAACCTTTTTGATCTGTTGCATTAATTAATCATTGATTTTGCTATTGCATTTGCATTGCCCATATTAATTCATTGTCTTGCCTTTGGTAGTTTAACCTAGACACTCTTCTCTCTCATCTCAAGTACTAAAGTTTCCCCTTCCTCTAATGTCCACAAATGCTTAACTAATTGAACTTAGCTATCACATTAAATTGTAAAACCACATACCTACATTCTATTATTTTTCTTCATTAATGATTTCGAATATTTTCCTAGTAATAGTGTTACATCTTCCATCCACTTTATTTTCTCAAAAACTATAGAAATAATAACACCTCAGCGTGATTTTAATTACATAGTATGGAGTTTAGTAAAGGCTGCTGCAATAATATTTATTATTAAGTGATACCTAACATTATTGCAACCAAAGTTAATGCATCACTTTCCTTCTTTACTGAGGGATTATTGGCATTGCAGAAAGCAGCAACTCCCAAAGTCAGAAAAGCTAGTTCCTTTAGGTGGTCCGTGATAACAACCCATGCTTAAAAATTCATGTCCATGAATATTTATTAGTTGGTTTAAGATTAATACACACATCGTTTTCCTTTTAACATATTTGTAAACACTAACTAATACCTCGTACAAAACGGAGGATAATATAATTCTCCATTATCACAGAATTGTTATCCCTTATATCAAACGGCCCCTTAGGACCATTCTTTCCATCTTCTAGCCAGGAGAAAAGGAATATATATACTTTTACAACAATAACATACCAGTAAAAATCTCACAAGTGAGGCCACAGAAAAAAGAAATCTACTATTGTACATTAAAATGACAATTGGAGCCAACGCTTTTTTATGCTTCTTTTTCCACTAAAAAGCAAATCTGTAGCTTTATCTTCATTAGTCAGCTATACAACATTAAACCATTGCAACATGATGTTTTTAAACAGCAGGGTAAACTAGAGGTCACTAGTATCCATATGTACATACTGTTCTAATCTTGTATTAATAAAAACTTTGATAGATTAAGAGATGCATGGAAGTAACGATTCTGGTTAGAGTTGAAACATGCTGACGTCTGAGAATGCAATGTCACCAAAATAAGCAGTTATGCTCTTCAACCTTCCATGAAGCATATTCTCTTCCATCTGCATAAGGAAGGAAGCAAGCAAGCTCTAGTATAACTGTATAACAGACAATGCTAGCGCAACAAAGAGAAGAAGACTACCTCGACTTTCAAGGGGGGAGAAGACAACCAAGCGAGCTCTTCAACTTGCAGTAAGTCAACATTACGAGGCAAGTACATAATGATATTTGGAGCTACGCTTTGAGCAACTTGGAATAATGAATAACTGCACAATAAGTAACTTAAAGGGTCTCGTCAACAAAGCACACACTTGTCTATTTGACAGAAATAAGGTGAATCTGAACTATATAGATAGAATTGCACAACGGCAGAGCACAAGGAATGAAAACTCAGATTAATGATGAAACAAGAGATAAAAGAGTTGGTCTGATAAATCGTTGACAGAAATTGAAGATCGGATTAATTATGTTCTTCATCTAAATCCTCCTTTTCCCACCTAGACCCACTTCTCAACCTCACACCGGATCAGGGAAATTTTATATAAGTCAAAGCCTGACAATCAAGCTCTAGATAGCTTAATAATTCCTTTTAACTGTACCGGCCTTTTTGGCATATTTACATCTACAGAAAAGTTCTTGAGGTAATTTTAAGACCAAATCTAAGGGGAAATGATATGGATGAAAAAAAAGAAGTTACAGTTCTGAAGTATGCAGTTGATTTTCAGCCACACCAATAACCAACAATGGAAAAATATTCTTACATAGTGAAAACTGAAAAGAGAGTAGATATTGTACTTACTAAATAATCCAACCGATGATGATTGATAGGTTTAATACACAAGACAAGAAAGTAATTACCATATAGCATGAGCCAGAGTGACATATAAACAATTAGTTTACCAAATGCAGAACATACCCATTTTTTGGCTTCAGCAAGTCAAGAGTAAAAGATTCCTTTGTGCTATATGACGGACCTCCCCATGGTGGTGAAAGAAATACTACGTTCCCCTAGTAAAAAGATGATGGCAACATTTAGGAAGAGAAACAGCAAAATAAAATTGCATTGAATAGGAGTCCCTCACGGGGCATTACATTTCTGTTTTCCTGAATTTTGTGGACATGCAATACTGGAAAAACCTTGCAATGGCCTCATTTTTTTGAAATCAAAAAACCATTACTTTGCTGAGAACATATTGATTGGTGAAGGAGCAAACATACATAATCGATGATCCAATATGCAGCTATCCAACCCGTAAAGATCTAACATGCTTTAGTTTCACGCAACTCCAACACAAGTGGAACAATAGCATAACAAGAAGTAAAATCTATCACCCAGTAGTCGAAATTCCTCAAACAGTTCAAAACTTTAAGAAGATGAACTGATGTTCTTTAGTAAAGGTCAGAATTCTGCATTTATAAGTTTTATCTGCTACTTAAGAAACGGGGTACTATCTATCATCAAAGTCTACGTGATTAAGGCAACTACTGTATACATCCAATGTCATATTATTTTATGCAACATAAGGCTGCTTCCAGCAATAAGTAAGCAGAGGGTATCACAATAGTACATAGAACTTTAGGCTCCTTCAAGTGACAGAAGTTAACAACCTTTTGTAGAGACAAATCTGTAATCAAACCATATATTTAACATGGAAACAACAATCACTAGACAAAACACGATGCTGTGTCATTTACTTTCAAATGCCATGATGTACCAATCACTTGCAGAACAGCTTAGGGTTTAGCCTTGCCACAATTGTATGTTTTAAAAGACAGTTTGATAGACATAATTTTTCTTTTTTTGATAATAAAAAAAACACCGAGGGTCAAGAGGCACATGCTGCGGTACTCGGTGGATAATTGCCTGCTCCTCTACCCTACTCCACTTAAATACCTTGTTATTGCCTACGACAAAATTCAAATTTGTTGCTAGACATAAATTTCTTCAAATCATTTTGGTTTTCAAAATTGTAAAACTAGGTGTGGACATAATTTCTAACATGACGGAGTACAATCTAAAGATACCAGAAATTAAAAATTTCATTAATCTGAGCCATGATTATCATTTTTGTAGAACCATATTTACAGCCAAGTGTTATTCAAGTACTCAACTGCCAACAAGAAGCAGAAGTTACTTGGATCTCTAATTCAAGAGTTCCGAATCAGTAGTCATCATGTTTACAAAGACTGAATCAAAACTGTTTATCGATCTAAATACCAAATTGCCTGAAGCATGAAAACAGCCTCACTCGTGTCCATGGTTAAAGGCTTAACACATTTGACAATTCGCAAACTGCACAATGCAGAAGTCTTAATGCTGCTATCAGCTAAATCTTGAAAACCACACACTGGTTTGTAAGATCTTAATATCGATGCAGCAAGAACCTTGTATCAAATGTGAAAATCATTAAAAGCTAAAAGCTGCTAGAGATAGAAGGTTACTCTAACAAAGTGAAAGCATGAACCACCAATATAATATATGAGGCAACTAGTATTGGATAGGATCCAGGTTATCACTTCTACTGGCTTCACCTCGATAAAGAAATTATAGCTACTAACAGAGAGGACATATGCATTACCTACTATCAATCAATCAATTGATATATATATATATAGAGAGAGAGAGAGAGAGAGGAAATGTACCTTCAAGGACGAGGCCAGTTGGAAAAAGTCTCCAACAATGAATTCAATATGATCTTCAACACCATATATCTTTGCATTTTCAAAAGCCAGTGCGATCTTTTTAGGATCAATATCAATAGCAATGACGTGATGACACCTATGTACGAGAACATGGACATCAGTCTACTGCTACTAATATAGATTGAAACATCAGAAATCAAAATGACAAGTTCTTGATTGACCCACAGCAGCAAAATGCACAATTTTATATTCCACACAGTTCACTATTCGGACAACAATATAAATGAGGTTCCACATGCATTTCTGCACTAAGTTTATTTCTACAAGTTTCGCATATAAAAATTCATTGCCCACTCTTTCATTTTAGATGTACAAGATGAGATTTCTTTGTCCTAATCCAAAGACAAACTGACAACTTACAACATGCAAGGCAAAAGAAATGGACCAAATCCAACTGCAAGGCGATACAGAAGGGAGATAAGTTGTGGTGATCACTGTTGCTGGTTTTTGCGACATGCTACTATATGAAGTTCAACACTGGGCTGAGAAAGCCAAAGTCTTGGCGTAGCAATGAAGGGGTGAGTTGATGGGTTCTCAATGTGGCAAAGAGAGTTGGAACAATAATAGTAACAAAAAATCCCTTTGGGATTCAACACTCCAACTTCTAACAATCATATCTACTATATGAACTCTTACAAAGAGGAATATATCTTAGGTTATGCAGTTATTATACAATTTACGGACACAGTTTTGGCACATGGCAATGTTCCATTCCCAATTAAACGGAGTAAGGGAAATCCTTTGCTCCTCTTAAACCATGGGAATATATACAAAGTAAGAAAATTTGAAGATAGTAAAATGCATTCAAAACTCAAAAGCAGGCCTAAAATGCATAGCATGGTTTACTGTTTCTTTCTACTAATTCTTTGAGATTGTAGACATAAGCAATTAGACTAACACCTATGCTGTCACAGAAATTCACCTGTCTACAAAATTTACTCAATTTCTTCACAGAACTTCAATAAAATCTTTCATAGAGAAATATAACAGTGCAAGAAAAAGGGATTACTAAATAATGAACACAAAGAAATTCGTCAAGAAACACAACATACATAGTGGCAAACTGGATAGCATTGCCACCAACTCCAGTAAAACCATCAATGACGACACCACCGCCACAGCGGCTGGCATGCCTGAGGGCAATCTTCTCTGGTGTAACGGAAAACCAACCTTCTTCATCCATCTTAATGCCTTGGTCATATCTCAAAAAAAGATCATATCTTTGGACCCAATACTTCTTTACAAGTGGACTAACCCCTTCATCTTTCTTGGTTCTCCATTTTTCTTTGAATTTAACTGGAAAAAAAAACACAAAGATTCTCAAAAAAAGTACATAATGGCTTCAAAATTCAAAATTAGGGCAAATGGGTACCTCTTCTCTTGATAATCTTGCCTTTTCGTTTTCCAACCATTTTTTTTTTTTTGGTGCTTCTCCTAACACCATACACGGATTGAAATTCTGGGAATCAAAGCTTTCAAAAGGAAATTAGGCGGGATGATAATTATGGGATCCTTCAGTAGTAGATGAGTGGAAAAAAGAAAAAGGGAACTATTTGTACTCTTGGACTGTGTAATTTTGATATTTTAAGATTATATTTGTTTTCATATACAAACTATATAGGAAAAATTGTAGTATATAATTTGCAAAATGTAAATTCAAATTAAATATTATAAATATAGTTTGGTTTAATTGTACCTTATAGTTAACTATTGTTATTTTTGCCTCTTTTTCTGGTGGAATCTCCCTCGTCACTCTCGTTTTAGTGGCAGTTTGGATCGCCTTTATCGCTTTTATATAAATACAAATGTATAAAATGTGTTTGTGTTGGTATAAAGCGAGAGGAAATTGTATATATACATATATTTTCGTTCTTCTCTCTCATATATCATTCGTCACCCTCGTCTCTCTCACTTATACATACATAAAATAAATGTATAAATTGTGTTTTTGTTTGTATAAAGCGAGAGAAAATTGCATATACACATGCAAATACATAAATCTTCGTCCTATACACTTATGATAATACAATAGAAATATTCTTCTGCACAGTTTTCTTTTGTCTTTCTCGTTTTATAAAAACACAAATTATACAATTAATCGTTTATATATGTATACTGAAACAGATTATACAACTGCTTTCTTTTATATATGTATAACGAATTATACAACTGTTTTTATATATGTTAACTATTATGAAACACAATTATGCAAACAATAACTATAACATACAAATATGATTTTTATATTTGTTGTATGTGAAAATTACTCAACTATAAATACTACGAAAAAAATAATTCTCAATTGATCATATTTTAAAAATAAAATGCTATAATTTTATGGGACAAGTTTATATTTTAAAAAGTTGTGAAATCACGATTTCATATACTTATGATAATTTGGATTTTAAATAAATATCTCAAATTATATATTCAAATACAAATTCAAAATTATCAGTCCATATCATATATTTAAACACAAGATAATTTTAACAAAACTTCTTTATAGACCAATTGAGTTTTACGTGTGAAGACGTTTTGAGGAAAAGTAATTCAAATTCGCCTTTCTACTTGAAGCTCCGTCAAAATTAAATATGAATTTGAGATAATTTTTTAATAGTAAGCTTATAATATAAGTTATAAATAATCCTATTTTTCAAAGTTATAAAATATATGGAAGAGGAATATTATTTATCCTTTTTCCTTTAACAAAAAGGCAAATCTATGATTAAGCCTTTTCTTAAAAATTTTTTATTTGTGTTAGCTCTATATATAGGTGATATCGGTAGTTTACTCAGAAAATTTATGCTTCTTTACAAATAATTTGTAAGCAATGAATGATATATAATTATTTGCCTTGCTTTTAGAGGTGCAAAATACATTATTTACCAGAATTTTTTTCGTTAATTTGTTTGTTTTATTTTTTAAAAAAAATCATTTTTAAAGATTAAGAAAAAAGTTTGTGAGCAAAATGCCACATTTAATATAAAGTAAATATTAGGTGATTTCTTCTTATTTGTTTTGTCTTGTTAAATGGACCTATTTGATCTATATTGATGGTGAAAGTTGATACATGTATCTGTTAACTAGTCGAAGTATATCTAAATTAAATCAGATACCTTGATTATTAATATTATCGTAATTTTTATGTTATATTAAAGTAATAATAAAAGTATGTCGTTTTCATTACATTATTCTAACGAATGACGAACTACTAATCCATATTTTGTTTTTTACTCGATTTTGTTATACTTCTTTGTTTATATTTTTATATATATTAATAGTGAAACTTTAAAGCTTTAAGGATTCTTTTCTTAAATATAATGCAAAGTTCTACAATAAACAGCTAATAAAAAAAGAAAACGTAAAGTTTCTTCCAAGAACCAAATTGCAAATGATATTTTGACGTTAATTTAAATGCGTGACAAATTAAAAATCTACGCACAGAGTCTTTTTCGTACAGAGTTTTTTTTCAATTCTATCTTCATGTATTCTAGGAATATATAATTTTTTTACTTAATATATGAAACAGCCTTGGTAAAAGAGCAAATTAAAATATTTTGAGATTACTTATCAGATCATTATTATATAAATATTCAAATAAATTATTTCAAACGTGATAATAATTTAAAAATAAAAATTTTATACTATTACTATTTATTTGTATTCCTCGTACCCATTAGTAAAATTAAAATTATTCGGATTCAAACGGAACCGCGGTGGAAAAAAGGAAAACATCATATGATAATAATTTTTTGTTTTTCATTAGTGTTATTAGTGTCACAGGCTCACAGCACTACCACAAGCGTTGTCTCTATTACAGAGCCAATGAAGCAATGGCTGTAGAACACAGAAAAGGTAACAATTTTGAGACTTTTTTCACTTCGGGACCCTTTAGTCTTGTAACCCTACCCCACCCCACCCCACCCCACCACTCCTTCAAAGCTCATCGGCAAAGCCCTAATGATGAGTTTTCGCCTTTTAACTTATTCTTCATCTTTGAATAGGTAACTGTTCTTACTTATGGTAATTTTCAGATTTCCTTTGTGGGTTTTGATGTATGGATAGGATCCTTAAACCCCTTTTCAATTTGGGTGTTATGGGGCTTTTGGGGATTCTATTGTGAAATATTCAATTTTGAGGTTTTTACTTGTTTAGGTACCTTTTTTGTTTGTTGGGTAACTGTGAAAATCTGGAGGAATTTGTTGATGAATTGATGAGTATATGTTATACTAGTAAGTTCCCCCGTTTTTCTGTGTTATCAGTGAAGATTTGTGTTGTTTCATCTTGAAATTTAAATTTCTTGCAATTCATGTACTTTTATGTATTGTAAGTTGTAACCTGTGATTAGGAGATCGTTTCCTTAAGAGCTTGTTATTCCGATTAATTACTTTTCAGTTGGCCTAGTTTTGAATTTAGTCTCAGTTGATCTTTTTCCTCTTTTCTTTTTCCCCTTTATGATATTAGCTGAATGGTTTTGCGGTTTTTAGTTGGAGGTACGCACTGAATTGATGTGTGGCTAGCTGGATTTTATGGGTTTGGGGCATTTTAGCAGAAGGCATGCACTGAATTGGTAGGTGCAGATTATCAAGGTTGCAGCATAATAGGGGAAAGACTAATGGGTGGCATATTGAGTCGGAGTAACCACAACTCTAATGTGGGGGATCTTATTGAGGGCTCCCAAAGTGCATCATGCAAGAGACAAAGGACATCAGATAGCTTCTGGGAGCATAGCCCACGATTAATTCCAAGCCTGCCTGATGAAATATCTATTCAAATCCTCGCCAGACTTCCTAGAACACACCACTTAAATGCAAAATTAGTTTCGGCGAGCTGGAAAGCTGCTATTATGAGTCCAGAACTTTATAGGTGTAGAAAAGAACTTGGAACAACCGAAGAGTGGCTCTATCTTTTGACAAAGACTGAAGGTGATAAGTTTTTGTGGTATGCTTTTGATCCGATCTCCATGAGATGGCAAAAGTTGCCACCAATGCCGGCAATTGCGGTCAATGATGAACCTAGAAGTGGTTTATCTGGACTTCGGGCATGGAACATGGCAGGTTCAAGTATGAGAATTGCTGATGCCATAAGGGGTTGGCTTGGAAGGAAAAGTGCTCTGGATCAAGTTCCATTTTGTGGTTGTGCTATTGGAGCTGTCGATGGATGCCTCTATGCCCTTGGGGGATTCTTCAGAGCTGCAGCCATGAGATCTGTCTGGCGATATGACCCCATTGTAAATGCTTGGAATGAAGTAAGTCCTATGTCTACTGCAAGAGCTTATTGCAAGACAGGTGTCTTGAATGGAAAGCTTTATGTAGTAGGAGGTGTTACTCGGGATCGTGGGGGACTTACTCCCCTTCAATCTGCAGAAGTATTTAATCCTCATACTGGTATCTGGTCTGAAGTCCCAAGCATGCCGTTTTCAAAAGCTCAGATGCTACCCACTGCTTTTCTAGCTGATCTACTCAAGCCTATAGCTACAGGGATGACATCTTATCGCGGTAAACTATATGTTCCTCAAAGTTTGTATTGCTGGCCTTTTTTTGTTGATGTTGGAGGAGAGGTTTACGATCCCGAAACAAATGCATGGATTGAAATGCCACTTGGCATGGGAGATGGCTGGCCTGCTAGGCAGGCAGGAACAAAGTTGAGTGTCACTGTTGAAGGAGAGTTGTATGCACTGGATCCCTCTAGTACGCTAGATAGTGCTAGAATAAAAGTTTATGATCATCAAAATGACACCTGGAAGGTGATTGAAGGAGATATACCTATTAATGACAATTCAGAGTCTCCTTATCTTCTTGCTGGTTTTCTTGGAAAGCTCCATGTGATCACTAAAGATGCAAATCACAATATCATGGTCATGCAGGCTGATAAGCAAAATCATTCAGCTCCTTCTCCATCAACCTCAGCAAACTCTTTACAAAAAAACCTACACGAAGTTCCAGAGCCGGTTTTAGGATCTGAAGCAAATATGTGGAGAGTTGTTGCTTTGAGAAGCGGTGGATCTGCAGAGCTGGTTAGCTGCCAAATCCTTGATGTATAGTTATGTCACACAAGGTTGCTATTCCCCTTGTTTTGATATTGCCTTTCTGTTTTTCCCCTCAGTTAATACAACTAGTTAGTTTTTTACTTCAAGCTTGAGTCTTGAGGAAATAGCAACACTGTTAATATTGCAACCTCCAAACATTTATATTACATATATTATAAATTTGGATAAAGTATGTTGTGAGATTTTTGTGCATGTCTGATAAAAGAGGCAATAGATTAGTACATGTTTGTGGTCAACAAAGTTGATCATTAGGTACTTGTTTTATAATCTGCGGATTAGAAAAACAAAAAACTTAAATTTACGATTGGAAGCTATGGCGAATGAATTACTGTTTTTGTCAATCATCTGTTCGTTGTGACTTGTGAGTTACTTGGAAGATGGCATAACCACTTTGCTGAGGAAAGATCGTAGAGGTAATTCCGCAACCACCATACAGCTGATGCATATATTCCATAGTGTTTTTTTTTCTTTTTTGCAGGAATGGAATCTAACTGTGAATTAACACAAAGGAAAGAAATATGTGGTGCAGAATATTG